TCCCATAGTCACTGGCTGGACATCTATTGGATTTTCTGCGATAAAGTGACTCTGTATTCTGGATTCAAAGTGGCACAGGCATTGGGTAGCTTCTTACATAGTATAAAGTCTAGGCCCACATTGTTCAACTGCCGAATCCACAGAGGCTAATTTCCAACTCCCTCTATTTGTAACTGTCTCCTCATTGAGCTCTTCTTGACTCAGCTGTAAGAAGTGGGTGAATGGAACCTGATAGACTATTTGCCCTTGATGGAAATATGCTCACATTGCACTTAAGGCAACCAATGTGGCCAAGTACAGACATTCAAAGAGCATGCATGAGGTGGAATCAGTCTAAGTTATGCAGTTTTCTGTAAGTGGTGTAGGTTAGATCAGTAGCAAACAGAACACATGTTCACCCTTTGGTGGGGAGGCATTCAGGCTGTCTGCACTGGCTGAGGCCAATAGGTTGGGGGCACTTAAGCTCACCTTCCTCTCACCTGAGTGCAGCCAAGCACCCAGGCCTGATTGGCTGCTGGGCATGGGCAATCCCACCCCCGACTCTCTGCTGTGTCACTGTGGACCCTTCCCTGTGCCTAGTCCTAGACTTGCAGGAGAGCCCCAGACTGACACCCCTCCATCATGAGCTGCACATCCTTCCATGTCCCATCCTGCTTGCACCCTGCCATGGTGTCCTGCCACCCATGCCCAAGCACAGAGACCCAGGAGGCGTGGCATATCTTGCTTGTTACCCTGTGCAAGTCTCGCTAGAGGCTGTGGGACATCATGCGTGCTGACCAGGACACAATGCAGCAGTGGGTCACCATGGCACACCTGCCATCCTGGTAGCGCAGCTGGTGGTGAGGTGGGAGAGTGCTCCACAAAAGGAAAGATTTGGTTCCTTAGAGCTCCAGTGAATGCCACACAGTGGCAGAAGGCACCTGGCCATCCAAAAGACTCTTGTCAGGCAGCAGAGGAAGGGGGACTTTTTCGTGATAAAGCAAAACGAGATGATTATACCACTGCTGCTTGTTCTGTACCCATTCAGATAAACAGATCAGTCCATAGGACAGTCACTGTGTCAACTTGTTATGTGCTCTAAATAGGTACACTGACAACATTTGCTGTAGCCAGTTTGTTTAGAGAAAAGTACTGAGCTACATAATAAGCTATGCTTAACTTCAGTATTGGCATGATAGGAAAGAAGGGCTAGAAGGGACCTCCTGAGGTCATCTAGTACAGCACCACATTCAAGGCAGGATCATCCCTAACTGAACCATCCCAGCCAAGTGCCTGTCTAACCTAAGTTGAAAACTTCCAGGGATAGCAACTGCACAATTTCTTTACATAGCCTGTTCTAAAAATTGATCACCCTCATAGTCAGATGTTCCACCTAATCTCTAATCTAAATTTCCTCTGCTGCAGTTTGAATCCATAGTTTCTAGTCCTGTCCCCTAAGACCATGGAGAGTCCTTTGGTTGCAAAACGGGAATTGCTGGTCATGCCCGACCTGTTCCTGAAGTTTCCGGGGAAAACTGCCTGATTACCCTGATTTGGATGCCTGGTACCTCCCCCACACCCTCTCCCCCCGCCCTAGTACTCCAGGACCCTGTAGCTGTGGACCAAAAAGCCTTTCAGTGCACCAGGTGCCCTTGGTCCTGGTACCTCAATATCTCTTGGCCCCTTCTAAGTGCTTTGTCCTCTCCACATGTGCAGAGATACAAAGGATTCAACATAAATTCATGCCTCCAACCTACTGCTTTTCTATTCCCTTTAGACTTAACCGCCCCCCCAGTATAGCCCTGCAGGTTGCAGATGTTGAAAAAGTTTTATTAAGAACAACCATGTACCTATAGTACATTATTTTTAAGATTTGAAGAATGCCGTGGTTAAATTATCAGCCCCTTATCTCTCTCTGATAGTTGCTTGCCAAAAAAATCTTTGATGTTTTTATGATTCTCTGTGTAACCTTACACCTACCCATGAATTAAGGATGTTCCAACAGAGGATCAACAAAACTGCTTTTTCAAGAGTCTGGGTGCTACCCTGAATAACAACATTCTGATCCTTGGCCAACATAAATGTTGGAGAGGGTGATTGGCAGGTGAGGGGATGATTGTTTTGGCTCATCTTCTCAAACCTTGGGTGTCTCCTGTTACAGCTAAGATGAAGAACGCTGGATTGCCAAATAGCAGTCACCAGCTTTCCTAAAATTAAGTACAGCTTTTGTTCCCTCCAGCATCTCTTCCATTATCTTGCTCTAGTTTTGAAGCATTTTCAATGGCAGGGGATGCTACAATAAGTTTACCTATTGTTTACCTATCAACAAATGAACCTGACAGAAAGATTCAGCAGTATCCACTAACCTTGTCCCTACTAGAGAAAAAGAGTATTTTATTATTTATTACATAATATGACCTTTGTGGCCAGAAGCCCAAGGGTAATTGTGCTAGATGTCACACTAACAAATAAGCATATAATGGTCCCTTTCTCAAAGACCTTGTAGTCTATGGTCACAGAGAGATTCTGAGGGGAGAACACATGCTAACATAGTATTATGATCCTGTGCTTAGACAAGAGTTGTATCAACTGGGTAAGAAATATCAGTTGGATAAGCAGTACTTAACATTTTTGGCTTTGAATCCCCAGAAATGGGCTCTGTGTTGTTGTCGGCGTAGTGCATACAGTGCTGAGCTCAGCATGTTAAAAAGGATGTAGAGAAAATGGAGAAGATTCAAGGGCCTGTAACACAGATGATAAAGAGGTTGGAATTCAAGCTGTATGAGGAAAGATTGGGAGAACTAGGTATGTCTAGTTTGGAGAAAGGAACATTAACGGAGGACAGGACAGTAGTTTTCAAATATTTGAATGCCTGCCATTGAGAAGAGGGAGAGCAACTGTTCTTATTTGTTACAGAGGGCCAGATATGAAGCAATGGGTATAATCTGTAACAAAGTAGATTCATTTTAATCTCAGGAAAAAAACCTTTCTGATTGTCAGAACAGTTGGACAGTTGAACAAGTTGCCTAGAAAAACTATAACATTTCCTTCATTCAAGATTTTCATGAAGAGGCTGGATCAGCATTTGGCATATTCTGATTGTTAAGAATAGTGTAACCTGGATTCATGCAGGGGTTTGAACTGTATGGCCCTTGAGGTCCCCTCCAACCCAATGCTTATATGATTTCATAATTTTTTTCCCAGTCCATCCTTTCTAATACCTTTCTAAACCTTCTAAACCTTTCTAAACCTTCTAAACCTTCTTCTAATGGAAGAAGGTTTTCCTTTCTTCCATTTCTCCAGCTGGTGTTTTAGACTCATGAGGACTCAGAGTAGGAAACATTCCCTACAGAGCTGAAATATGAAAATCTGGGAAAAATTTGCAGTTTAAAAAAAAATTGAATTAACAATATAGAGAAGGACTAGCACGGTGATGAGTTAATCACTTAAAGAAAGGGTAGAGAACTATTGCATGTCATATCTCTGGTAAAATTAGGTGGGATGTTAATGACATATAGTACTGAGACTCAGATTTGTAATTTAACTTCAAGGAATTGTGTGTGAAAAGCAATAAAGATTGCATATTAGCTGAACAGACTTAGTCTGATTCAACTTATATTTGGTATACGAAGTTTCTCCGTTAGCTTTTTGCATGTAATCAATAGCTGGGTGAATAGCAAGCATAGTTGGAAAGTCTAAACTCTAGGCTTAATGACTTGCTGATTAACCAGTTCTGACTGCTTGTTTTTCCAAGAGTTATTCTGTACATGTACATACACAGTAATTGGTAGAAGAGTTTTCATTTTAAGATGCATCTAGAATTTATCATTATTTTCAAAGAATGCTTTGTAGACGTATCACTCAAGAAAGATTGCACATCCTTTTGCTGTAGTCTGGTCATGTAAAGAATGGAGGGAAACATTCTATCTTCTGTATGATGTTTGGTTTATATTGGATAATGGAGAGCTAAATCATTGAGTCCTTGCCCAGGCATAATTCCTAAGAGTAGATCCAAAGTATTTAACTCTGTTTTAGTGTTTCTGAACTAATGTCTCGATATTCAATCATCCATCCAAGGAAGAAATCATATTATAAAATCTTCTGATAGACCAGTTAAACTCATTAGTGATAGTTATTAGTTTATAATGCCTTTTGTTAAATTTTGTGAAAACTTAGTAAATCTGGTCAGGAATTTTTCAACAAATACAAAACTAAAACTTCCCATGAGAATGGATTACAAGTATCCTGATTCTAACATTTTGGAAATAAATATTTAATTTTTTTCAGGTCAGAGTGACTACGTTTAAAAATATATTTCTCTTTATTAAAAAAAATTAGAAGTCAACACAGAATTATTGAAACTGAAAGTTTTATCTAGGCCAATTAATTTATTTTAGGGTGGAGAGAGAGTATTGAATATCAAAATATTTTGAGACTTTGTTTTTTATTTCCATTTCAGGATTTGATTTATAAAAAAATAAAATTTTGCTGAATTGATAATCCATTTTCCAGCAAGTTATACTTTTTAGGAACCTGAGAATTGCCACCTGTAATCATCTTCCTTGTGAAATATGACCTGCAATTCCTCAATGACACATCTTTATTTCTTACATGATTGTTCAAAATGGCATTATATAAAGAGAGGTTTTGAAAATGTGTGCAGCAAACAAGTGGTCGTTAGCTTTCCAAATTAGAAAATGAAATACAGATAGAACCTTTGCAAGCCAGTTATTTTCAGCCTGAAAAATATTTCCACAGCAGAAACATGTCATTTGAAATGCTTCAGAAATGTGCTTTTGTGACCATTAGGCTTATTAAAGTGTCGCGTCACTCGTCTTCCCCAAGGGAAAGACATAGTTTTCACACTTCCATATTCCTTGTTTGCCAGTTCAATTATTCTAATATAAATCTCCAAACTGGGAACCTACTGCCTGTGCTTTAACATATTTGTCTCCAACTGATGAAATATACATTACTGTGGTAGCTTAAATTAACTGATTCTTTTGTTTCCTTTCTCAAAGAGCATATGGGTTAGTACCTACGTGTTTACAATATGCTTTGCTGCTAACGTGGGACTGTTGTATGGAGTTGTCTGCACTATAGTGATAATGATTTTCCGCTTCCCCAGGTGAGACATCATTTGCTCTTGAAATGGCCTAGAAGCAAATCATTGGGTCTGCTTTTTATTGCTTCATATTCAATAGAAGTGTGGCACTTTGGGTTAAATAATCTCGTTTTATTGTAACTAGGAGAAAATTGTAGCCATAAGGTTACTAAAACAGATCACTTAACTTCTTCATAACATCTAACTACTAAGTGTAATAATGGCCTTGAAATGGACCTTATGAACTGTTTTATTGTTTTTTATAAAAGGGTATTTCCCCATGCAAATAAGAAAAAAAAAGACAGACCTATGCATTTACTGGACATCAGTTAATTATAAAATCATTTCATAATATGGAATTATTTTATGATTTTTAATAATTACAAATTTCTGACTCATAAACCAAGCCTAGTATTAAATCAATTCAAAGATCAATATAAATTTCCTTCCATTAGATACTTTTTGCTTATTAAAAAATGCAGGATGTCTGGTAAATCTTAGGTATTGAGTCTCATTATGGGCCCCTAGATACTGCACTAAGGAGAATGCCAGCTGACATTTTGCACTTTTTAAAATATGGAAATAAAGGCAGACAGCAAGATGATTTGAATATGCAAAGAGAAAACACCACACTGTAGATTTTAAGTACAAGTTACAAAAAATGAGCAGAGGAGAAGCATAAATGAATACATATTATTTTCACAAAACATCTATATACTATTTTTTTGTTTTTAAGTAAAGGAAATTTTTTTTTTAGGTTAGTGGTCATGCCAGTACTAGTAAATTTAATCCATAAACTGCTAAATTTGCAAACTGCTTATCCTATGTGGGTGGCTGCCTGCACACTCATGAAATCCCACTTGGGTTGGTTAGTATATATGGCTTGATTCAATGCCATTGGAGTTAATGGGAGCCTCCTAGAAGGGTAATTAGTAGGACTGGGGTGTAAATAACTAAATAGTAGTAACATTCTGTGATGATTATTACTGTATATAATGTTTGAGTGAATTCATCAGTGCAATTTTGGCAGCCTTCTGCTACTGAACAAAATGTAGATTTAGGAATAGTTCTGTTCATGTGGAAAAGCCCAGGTTCTAATTTCATTTACACCCTTTGACTAGATGCAGAGATGATCCGAGCAGGGTATGGGGCCCAGGGCAAATCATCCTGTGCAGGGCCCTGCCCCCAAATGCAAGAAAGCTGGCAGCAGATTCAGCAGCAGGGTGTGGGGGCGGTAGTGAGCAGCTGGGCATGAAGCTGGCAGCAGCGCGGAGTCGCTGCAGCCACTCTGCCCCGGCTCCGTAGGGCACCCCAAACTGTGGGGCCCGGAGCGGTTGTCCTGATTTGCACCCCCCCAGGAACAGCCCTGACTAGATGTTTGAGGTTGCATGGGGGAAATGGGAAAGTAGTTTGGCATAAAGCACGATGAATCCGATCCAGCACTAATTGAAATAAATGGGAGTCGTTCCATTGACTTCAGTGGGCACTGAATCAGGTCACATATAACTATCTTTGTAATAAAAGCTCACACAAGGCTTAAGGTCCTTATTATTCTACTCTCAGACTGTGCTGTTAAATAATATGCTTTATGTCACTCATTCATGAAAAAGGAGTTTGCCTTATCTGTTGATGGGGATGGCTAGAAAGACCTACGAATAGGAAGTTTCAGAACAAATAAAAATATAAATTCAGTGGAATAAAAATACATTCAGTGCACTACAGTCTATAGAAGGGGCAACAAACCCCACAAAGGTTTGTCTAGCCACCCCACTGGTTGCAGATTGTCTCTGTATGTTGAAGCATCTATTGAAATGTTAGCATTTTGCCATTCTAAATTATGTCACTTGTACAGATAGGGTGCATCTACATGAGACATTGCTGTGCAGTTGACTAATTAACTGTGCAGTAAGTGCCTCTGTGCCTACATGTGTGCCCCTGTTAGGGTTCATGAAACTAATAAACTTTGCAGCAAGGTGGTACTTGTGAAATACAAGTACTACCCTTTTGTGGAGTTATTTTGTCCATAGCAGCCCACGTGTAGATGCTGCTTTGGTTGGCTGGGGTACAGGGTGGTTCAGTGAAGGGCAAGCCAGCAGGTAGTCCCTGCGCTGAAGCACCCTTTGTGCCCCAGCTAGCCGCTTCACAGCACATGGAGCCCGATCTGAGCAACCAACTCAGGGCTGCTCTGACGGGGCTTCACATGCTACGGAGAGACTGACTGAGGCACAAAGATGGTTCCATGCAGGGCTAGCTGGCAGGCACCTCTGGGAGCAATTCACTCTGAAACAATAAGCTCCGGAGTTTATTTGTGTGTTATTTATTTATTAATTGAACATGTAGATGTAAGCATAGTAAAGTAGTGCTAGTTATAATTGCATTAACTTTCATAACCTGTACTCCTGTAGTAACCTTGTTTTTCCATGGTGTTTTTATTTTCCTTGTGGTTGGTAAATAAATCATGGGCTGGATAATAAGCTGACTCCTTTATTTCTTTTGAAGTAGTGAGACATACATTACACAATTTAACTGGAAATCAAGAGCAAACTAATTAGATATATAGGTGCAAGCGAGTTTTTTACTTTGTTCTGGAAGCTGTACGAACAGCAAATATCTGATCCTGACCAGAGATCTTCAGATGGTACCACAATACTGCATACTGTGGATAACAGGTTCACAGAATTGAAAATTTAGTTTTACAAAAAGTCCCATTATTTATGCTTTAAATTTAAAAAGCAAAGCTATAAATTTAAAAGTAATATACCAGGATTTAGAGAGGCTACAAGACGTAAGCCTACTCAGTGGTCTAGCTTTTATACATTGGAAGGACATTTTTTTCCCACAAAAAGCCCATTCCTTTCTTTTTATTTCCTGTTTAATGTATGAAATAATGCTTTAAATGTGCAGAAAATCCTAGAAATCCTATTGTTAGAACACTGTACCTTCTATCCTATATTTAGATATGGCATCTCTGCCTACCCTAATTCAAAATGACTATCTTGTTTACTTTTCTCTATGTATTGATTGCAGAGCAGAGACACTGATTTTGAAAAATATGAAAGAAGTGGAGTGTAAATTCAAAACAGAAGCTAATTGTGTAAGTTAACTCCTATTTACTCTTCTGTCCATTACTAATCTATAGTTTTTTATTTCCCATAATTTTTTCATAGAAGTTGTAAGAGTCAGTACACTAACATTCAATTATATGATCACTTTATAACTGCAGCCAGTGGAAGCAATGAGGTTTATTGCATAGAGCACTGGACTAGGGGGCAGGAGACCTAAGTTTAGTGTAAGAGTGATGTTGTAGCCTTGATGGTCCAGAAATAATGTGAGAGGTGACCTGAAGAAGAACGCATTGCATATGAAAGTTTGTCTAAGTCTATCCCAACCAGGTAGTTGGTTCAATAAAAGGCATCAACCACAAAAATCTTTGCCCCTCACATATTTCCTGGACCATCACAACATCAGTCCAACACTGTCCGATATGGGTTCTTTTATTATGTCCACCTTACTTTTCAAATATTTATATAGCTTACTATTTCAGTGATCAGTGTATCTGTTAGTTATTAACTTGTCAACAAAGCTCTCCCATCCAGATATTTTATTTTTTGGCACCCAATTATATCTTGGGTTTTAAAGCTAGAATTTACCCAAAAGGCTTTCCTGTTTTGGCATCCTGAAATGTTCTGAGTGACATGACTGAAAACAAGAATATAGGAGAAAGGGAAGAATCCTAAAACACTAAATAGAAACACTATTGTGGAGTCTAACCCAGTTGTTGAATATTATATCTTCTTTCTGTATTAAAGAAAAAGAAAGTTAAAGGGAATTTGTCAGAGGAGAATGGGCCAAAATTTGATCTACATTTCTTTCTCTTCATGTTTGGAGGAAAAATATGTTCACAAATTCCATTCATTGTTCTTTTTTCAAATATTTTCTTCATTGCTTTTTTTTCTAAAGCCTTAAGACCAATACCAGTGACTGTACAATAACAACCTAATGTCTGCATAGAAAGAGGAAATAAAATATTTTAGAAGGAAACAGATTGCTCAAGAGTTTATTTCAGAATGCAAAGAGTAAAAATGTTTTAAAGATTTAGAAAACTGCTTCCACACGTGTTTTTAAACCTAATTTAGAACTGCTGGGTTGCAGGAGTTGTTTAGGATGGTATTTTTTTAACTATATGAATGTTGAAGCTGCTCAAGCTGCCCTAGAAAATGACAGCTTAGAGATAAACAAGAGGATATTTTAAACATGAAAATATGCAAGTTTAATGATCTACCCTGCTATTAAGGTCTGTGGATTTATATGGGTTATTCCATCAATAGGAGAAGAGACACTTGAATGTGGAAAAAAATCATCAGACTGCTTCTTAAAAGCATGTGTGAAGAACATCACACCAGTTAACAAGATCAAATTCTTGCCAAAGTGCAGATGGCACTGAGTAGTGCAGAGAGCAACTGTAGATGTTCTTCTCAGTATACCAGGGAATAGGCTGCTTCTCTCTTCCTTGGCAAGGTGATATCACAAAGACCTTAGTTTTGTTTTGTGTTGTTTTTCAAAATGAGTATGAATACACAAAACTTTACAGGAAACATCAAGTACATTTTTACTACAGCTTTACTCAGCCATTTGCTGAATAGTGTAGTTTCTTGCATACCACACACTCTCAAATGCAGAATGAAAGACATTTTTTCCCAGGGTTATGGCTGCGTAGAAGAGGGGCAGAGTCTAATCTTCAGCTCATTCCCCCTCCCTTTGATGTTCAGCTAAAAGTTGAAATTGTAGCTGCTGCTGAAGACTGGCCTTCATGGGCAGATGTATGAATTTGAAAAGAACTAAAAAGTCTGAGAGAGACCAGGAGTAGCTAACAAACATCAGAACTGCCAGAAGAAAAATTAGCTTAATTAGTGGAACATCAAGACCATTTAAAAGAAGAGCTAGTCATTAAGGTTCTTTGTGTAAATCTGATATTTTTTATTAGACCAACTCAAATAGTTGGAAAAATTCTTCTTAGCAAGCTTTTGGGTATAAATACCCTTTCTCTGGCTGAGGAAGCATCTGCAGTTGTTGTGTGCTCTTCCTGGATGGAATGAATAGTAAAGAAGCCAGAGGCTGGTATGCAGGCAAGAAAGGCAGTCAGTGAAGATATGAATTGAGGAGTCAGTGGGTGAGAGACAGGCTGGGGATGGGGGGTGGGAGGGTGGGGCGAGGGGAATAAATGTAGCTGGTAAAGAGTGGAGAGGTATCTGGGGATATAGATGTTAGGCATATTATGTGTCATAAATCCACTGTCTATATTTAGTCCATGATTTTTAGTATCCAGGAAGTCGATGAAGTGGAGTTCATAGGCTCATCTGTGAAAGGTGTTTTGTAAATTCCCTTTGAGGATTAGAACTGAGAGATTGGAAGGAGAGTGGTTTTCTGTGAGAAATGTGCTCCCATAGGTAATTGGGTATTCCTGTCTTTGATAGATTTCCAGTGTGCATTCACTCTGGTGTGCAGTTGTTTGGTCTCTCCTATGTATTTTCCATTAGGGCATTTGGTGCATTGGATGAGATATATTACATTCTGGGTGTTGGCTACTAATGTCCAACTCGGGATCCTTAAAATTCTGGTTTATTAGGCGGATTGAAACACTGTAATGAGTTAAATCATAAACCTTGGGGCTGGTCCTTACACACACACACACACACACACACACACACACACACACACACACACACAGTAGCAAGCTACAGGAGTCAGGTATACCTATCTCACAGGTGCTGGAGTCTGCCGTTGAGGCTTCTTTCAGCGTGGTGTTCTCTTCCAGAAGGGGGTCGCCGGCTGGTCCTTCTAGCTGGACAGGTCGGGTGCTGGTCAAGTTGGAGGTCAAGAGGGCGCCACTGAGGGTCACTTTTCACTGCTTTTTATCTGTTCTTGGCAGACTTTGGTGACTCCACAGTTTTCAGGGTTGCCCAATCCAGGGGTCATTGACCCTCGTGGGACTTCCCCCCTCGGTGGCTACTGGATGGCATCTGTCAGCCCCAGGGGTCGTCCGCATGTACGTGCAGGTTTGGGAGTCCGTTGATGAATTTTGAATAGGGCTCTGGGAGCAGTCAGTTTGGAGATATTCAGCCCAAAAGTTGGTCCCTGGCATTGATTAACTCAGGCCAGGGCTTCTAGCCCTTGATCAGTGACGTTTAGAGATTTCCCGGTTGTTACATTGTCTTCTATTGAATTCTTCCGTTGGTTGATCTGCAGTTTCCTTAGGTGTTAATTGCTGTCTGCTGCTACAGTGTTACACATTCAATCACTGATTCACTCGCTCTTTCAGGGGCCAGCCTGATACAGGGAAGTGGCAGTTTGACTCCTGCCCTTGTTAACATTGTTACTAAACACATTTATAGTTGGAAGTTGAAAGGTGAGGAGTATAAAATATAAGCTACAAATGCCACGGCACACAAATAGATAAAAATACCAACATACACGGGGAGATACAAAATGCGCACACACAAATTTTAAAACACAATTCCGTATCTTAAAGTGAAAGAAAGGAAGGAAGAAAAGGTAGAAGAGGAAAAACATATTTAAAGAGAGGAGAGCAAATGCAGGCAAGAGGAAAAGGGGGCTTTCTGCTACACAGGAATGGTGATGGCTCTGTTGTGGGATGTAGTAATTGTGGGGGTGGTGGAGATATGTTGGAAGATTTTACATTTCTTGTCATGGCATGGTCTGGATACATTTGGTGTGTTCTGGGCCATAGAAAGTTTGCTTCTGGTAATGAGGTTAGTGAGGTTGGGTACTTGTTTGAGGGCTAGTCATTAACACCTGTGGAGTGAAGATCAATGCATTAGGTCAATTCACTTCCTCAGAGGCCTGAATAGAAATGGCACTGCTGCTCTCAGGCAGTTAGTTTTAAAATCTGAGACTAGGGACAGGCATTCAAAAAACCTGAGCCTGAATTGATTGATTCAAAGATTGAATCTTTGCAGGTTAGTCTAACCTGCCTAAACTGAATCATTTGTAACCGAAAAGACATCCCCTCTGCACTGAGGAAATGCAGGCACATGCCTGCAGTGGCTCAAGCTAGAAGCCAAGGACACTAGAGCAGCCGTCCGTTCCCTTTCACAGTACTGAGCTGAGGGGCAGGGGCATGGCCAGACCTGGGCAGGATGCTCTGATTAGGGAGCCAGCAGGGATTTACACAGCATTTAGTTACACAGTATTTATCAGCCCATCAGCAAAACAAAAGGCTCTCCATTAGTTCAAGCTCTTCTTAAACAACATTTCCAAGGAAAGAACAGAAGGATATTACCAGCTGAGCTGTTGATTAGCTCCAAAAGCCCTAAGGGGACTCTGCTTTTGTCCCATTTCCCATAGCACGGACCGTAGCCAGCATGTGTTCTGTTAGCTAATGCTAAGAGGTGTCTGTGTAATGCAGAGGGGAGCGAGGATCCCAGCTTCAGCAGGGAGGGATAAGGGGATGGGGGGGAGCAGGAGGAAGCCAGGCAGAGAGCCCTGCCCAGCCCACAGAGCATGTTGAGATGCTGGGGGATTCTGATTTAACTTAAACCAGGAAGGGGTCTGGGACAGACATTGCATACATTGGTTTGACCCAAATCAGTTGAGTCTGATGCTACATTCAACCAGGTTTAACTCAAATCGATTTCAGCCATTTTCAAGCTGGTTTATGTGCACTGAACATCTATTTTGTTACATGTTTAAACCAGTTTCTGATCATTTAAACTGGTTTCTGTGTAATGTCTGTCCCTAGGCGGGGTGGACCAGGAATCAGTGGTGTGCTTTTTTTCTGGGTATAAATCAGCTTTTCTACTTAGGAAAGCACCTCCATTTTGGAAGGTTAATTTTTGGTAAAAAGGTACATCTGTTATGTTAGCAAATACAATATGATGTGATCAAATTCCAATTGCTGGATCATCTGTATAAACTGACAGCAAGTAAAGTAGTGTGGCTGCCTGAAATTATATAGTTTGGGATACTGTACTGCTGAAAGATTTCATTACGTTGTCTGTAATGGTAGCTGTTAGGCCTGTGTGAATAGGGAAGTATTTGATTTGGATTTGGCCAATTTGGAGGACAGTGATTCAA